TATATACACATGTATATGTATTTATGTATATATGTATATATGTGTGTGAAGGGCAATCTCGACGAAATTTACGTATACTAAATATTTGACGTTTATGCCGACGCAAAAGATTGTATATGTCATCAAATGACGTGTCCAAGGTGCAAGTAGGCATGGAAGGCCGTACACCTAAATGATCCGATATTAAGTTAATAAATCGCATCTTAATTATGTACAGTATTGTCAAGGAATGTGGACTTAGCCAAATAGTCGCGGACACTTTGGGATGGTGAGCTCATTGTAATGCATTCGCAGATGAAAGTCCAGAGACGCCGCGCACTTTGCGGTGGTAGTGATCTCTTACAGAACCAACTGTGCCAAGTGACTCTTGTGCCCCATTCATCCCTGCAGATACGATCTACTGTGTATTGAAGGTCTAGTGCGTGGCATCCGAATCTTCGAGCGCAACATCGAGCCGCCCAGGTACGTGTCCTCCCCTGCGACACAGAAAATCATTGTGGAGAAAGAGACCCAGCAGATACGTCCGTACGTGGTGGGCGCGGTCTTGCGCAATGTCACATTTAACGAGGACTCGTACGCGAGCTTCATCGATCTCCAGGATAAACTACACATGAATATTTGCCGTAAACGTACGCTTGCCTCAATTGGTACACACGATTTGGATACCATCAAGGGTCCCTTCTACTACAGAGTAAGTGTGTTAGTGTTAGCTTCTTGTCCAATCTCGCACGTAGTGCACTGCTGCATTTCTCTGTGGCGCCATTGTGAGCTATGCTTGGTATCTTTGTGATCCATGCTTGGTACCATTGTGACCTATGCTTAGTACTATTGTGACCTATGCTTGGTACCATTGTGACCTATGCTTGGTACTATTGTGGCCTATGCTTGGTGCTATTGTGACCTATACTTAGTACTATTGTGACCTATGCTTGGTACCATTGTGACCTATGCTTGGTACCATTGTGACCTGTGCTTGGTGCCATTGTGACCTATGCCTATGCCTGGTGCTATTGTGACCTATGCTTGGTACTATTGCGACCTATGCTTGGTGCTATTGTGACCTATGCTTGGTGCTATTGTGACCTATGCTTGGTGCCATAGTGACCTATGCCTATACTTGGTACCTTTGTGACCTATGCTTAGTACTATTGTGACCTATCCTTGGTACAATTGTGACCTTTGCTTGGTACCATTGTGACCTATGCTTGGTGCCATAGTCACCTATGCTTGGTACCATTGTGACCTATGCTTGGTGCTATTGTGATCTATGCTTGGTGCCATTGTGTCCTATGCGTGTACTGTTCTCTGTGTAGGCCATACTCACGTTCCTGTGCATGTGTCATGTTGTCCCCCTAGAGCTTCGTACATAGTCGGGATTTCTCGCGCGTGCTTCTGTACTTGGCCATTCTGCGTCTCATAGTCAAATGTTCCTTTACTTGATAAACAGGCTCAAGCGCCCAAGGATATCAAGTTCAAAGCACTCAAACAAACTGAGGAAACCACCGCCGACGAACTTATGGAGAAGTACCGAACTGACCAACAACTGAAGCACTTTCTGCACATCATTGAGGACAGCCCTGTGTACCCAGTGGTGTACGACAGTCAAGACATCGTATGCTCCTTGCCCCCTATTATAAACAGCGAATATTCCAAGATCACCTTGGAGACTAGGTATGTATTATGTTGCGAACGATCAATTGTGTACCGAGTGGTGTATGTGAATGAGATTCACCTTCAATCGTTGATATATGCGATAGACATTGTCTACGCTGATCACACTTTGGCTATACCGATACCATTTCGCTTGTACTGCACTTTACAAAGTGAATACAAAAAAAGTCATATACGTTCTATCTTTGACGTTTACGTACGGAATATACGCTGTTTAAGGTATCATTTTTTTTCGCTAGTGATGCAATTTTAAGCGATTTTAAATATTTGTTCCATCCCTATGTCACCTTTTTCTTCGAGAATAATCCATATTGCTTTTGCTCGGCACTCTGGTTGATTGCGACGTGTGATACTATACTAGCGGATTGCGAAGCTAATCATACTCATGGGCAGATAACCCTGAATCGGCTCAAGGGGAGTTTTGATATAAAGTGGCAGCGTACTCGCCTTTCACTTTTAAATGGGGGATTATTATAAACTTCTAATGGCAGCAGATGTATAGTTAAGCTGGACATGGTCGGTGACACCTGTTTGACCAACAAGACTCGCATTTATTCGGACAGGAATGTCTTCATCGAATGCACGGCCACTGACCGGAGCAAGGCCAACACCGTGGTGGACCAGATCGTATCCATGTTCTCTGAGTATTGCGATACGCCCTTCACATACGAGCAGGTGGGTTCGTTATCTACAAATAATTGAAGATCAGATGTGTTCAGGCAATTGGTTTGTTGTAGGCGCACTGATGACGTGCGGCTGTAGGGTGTTGGACAAGGGGTGCACCAGGATTGAATTAGGATTGAGTAATCTGTGGTAGCTTTTGGACGTACTCGTTACTGATTGTGATCGAAGTTGTCTTCATACTTTGGATCTTCAATTTGTTCAGTGTGGTTGCACGGTATCACAATTGAGTACTCAAAATGTGATAACATGCTGCGCCAGTTCAGTACTCATATATGGTACAGTATATGCGCAAAAACACACTCCAATAGTAGAAAACTCACCAAATTTAGTTGCTAACGTTGTACAGGTTGATATCGAATACCCTGACGGCACAACGGAAATCACGCCAAAGATGGAGTATCGTCTGGAGAAGGTGCCTGTTGCCTACTTAAATAAGGTAAGTGGTGTGTACTCGCATGTGGTGACGTGTTCTTTATTACCGATGGAGATAATATCGACAGACCTAACCTTTATGTGAGTGTCGTTCCTGAATATCTGTATTGCTTTTTATGCGACTATATCATATATATCACGCACACTGGTCAAATACAAGTGCTTATAAGTTTCTCATAAGAACATCAGATGTATTCTAGTGCATCTGTTTGTGTGTGGTTGAGTGTAGGTCGGTAGCACTCTCGGATGGCACACGTCCTGCCAATGCCAAATACTGATGCACACATTCTTGGTGCATATGGCTATAAAGTCTATCTATAGATATGTCGATTGCCTCAGGGCAGCACATCAATATACATTCACACGGACGGTGCCTGTTCATTCAGTGATGCGCTTGCACCTGGAATAACGTGCGAATTCGCGTAGAGCGGCTGCTATGCGCTCGAACACCCGTACTTCTATCAAACCAGATGTATTATTTGGCTATATGCACAAGCATCGCGATCTAGATTCCAGTCACGCACACCTTCACGCTCGTGCGAATATCCGTAGAAGCTTACGAACCGAAATAATGATCATACCACCTCATATCCTAGACCAGCACACTCATCTATAGATGAGATTCGTACGAAATCGTATATTTCAGAGATTTAGGCTTGTGTGGTAATTAGCGTCATCCGCACGGCCCGTACTAGAGCACCACCACAAGCTCCCATAAAAGTAATTCTGTGTGCAAGGCCAAATTTGTCTATTTATCCTGGATTGTCTGTACTCGTTTATAGAGAGTTGGCATTGAAGAAACGGCCGAGAGTATCGCCGCCATGCTGGACAAGATGTGCATCCCATCCACAGCCACAGATGCGGAGACCATTGAGGTCGAGGTGCCACCCACGCGCGCGGATATTCTGCACGCTTGTGATATTATGGAGGATGTTGGAATCGCATACGGGTAGGTCCAGATAAGTTGAGTACTTGACCATATGTTGGAGGCGAGACTGCGTACAAAATCTTTATGTATTATATACAAGTGAACATATGTATATGATGTGCTAATTGTGATTGTATAGAGATATTCGTATAGTTGGCGAGAACATGTTTTTTCACTATCCTCGAACTGCAGATTGTTTAGGCTTCTACTGCTAACTCAATACTACTTTCACTCGCCTTCATACCAGATACGACAACATCAAGATGACCATTCCCGACTTCCAAACCGTTGCCGTACCAAATCCCTTAAATAAACTTACTGATCTGCTGAGAAACGAACTAGCTCAGTGTGGCTTCACAGGTATGCGAGCTTTCTTTCTTATCAGTGCAATTAATCGCCTGTGTACCTGTGAGTTTATATATTAGTGTTTGGGGGGGGGGGTTCACTCGTACCTAATATGTTTTAACTCCGTTCGTAAGCATTCTTGTATACACGGGGTAACCATTTCGAGTGCACATGGAGATACAAACGTTGAAATATGTTTATTGTGTGGTTGTAAAGATTTATGTCACGGTGAGAGTACATAAGCACGTATTAGGATGGTGTTATTAGTCTGATGAATGCATGCGTTTTTTTGTTTGCCGAACCAGCAGTCGCGTTTGATCGTGACAGCCTATTTTCGACATAATCAAATCTTTTAAATGTGATTAATTCATACATATGTGCGCATGTACGTCTGACCATCGTTTTTAATCTATCCCCCTTTCGCCCCTTCGTTTACACCCAACTCATAGAGGCTCTAACCTTTGCGCTGTGTTCGCTGGATGAGAGCTTCAAGTTCATGCGCCAACCACAGAGCAAGAAGGCTGTGACTATCTCAAACCCTGCCACATTCGAGTTCCAGATGGCGCGCCTGGACCTTGCGCCGGGGATTCTTAAGACCATTGCGAGCAACCGATCTGTCCCCATTCCCTTGAAGGTGCGTATGTTACGGTGTCACCCTACTGTTGCTGGCTCCCGCGAGTGTGTGACAGTAGTGATGTATGTGTTGGATATGCGATGTGTAGTACGCGAGTCTCATCGGTTGCATCTTGTTACAAAGCGAATCTGTTGGTAAATGACGCTCAAAGTCTAAGAGGCCAACACGATTCAACATCACGAAACAGTGGACGTGCATCAGTCTGTGCCATCCCCATCCACATAGGCGAATATGTATCGACAACATATACCTGACATTCCAATGTGATCTTCTCCCACCATACTTGCATCTGCATACGTGCCGATATTTATATTAGATCTTCGAAGTGTCGGACGTGGTTATGCAATGCGAAACAAGTGACACCGGGTGCAAGAACGAGCGTCGGCTGTGCGCGGCTTACTACGGCCAGACATCTGGCATGGAGGTCATCCATGGCCTCATTGACCGCATATTCCAAGTGCTGAGTGTGGAGTACGACGCCGCTGAGGGCTACAGCTACGAATCCGTAGATCGTATGTTGTACTGCTATGTGGCGTTGTAGTTCTGGAGTTTGGTAGTTTTGAATGGACTTGTGATCGTGATCGTGTACCGTAGCCTATGAAGTTGTGGTTCTGTGTCTCTACATCATTCAACCCCTGAATCATTGTCAGTCCGCTTCAATGAATGTCGCAAATCGCCTATTTACATCGCCAGAACCAAGCACTTACGCCTCTCAAAAGTTACCTGGCGCAATTGCATTCCTTGTGCGTTCGTCGTACCATCTTCGCATCATAAAGAAATTTCATGCATGCAATTCTACTGAATAGACACGGAACGCGGGAAACCCACGAAATTAGTTTGAAAAACCATAGGTGTGATTTTATGCCTACCCAGCTCGACACAGACATAGATTTGAATTTGACTTTTGGAGTGTGTTAATGTCTTTAAATGGAAGCACTAGATGGCACGATCTAACAGTAGCTGATGATAGCGAAATGATCGAATAGGTAAGTGCTTTAACTGTCATTTACGCAACCGATCATGATATACGGAGAATCCAACAAGTCACTCATCAGACAATAGCGAATGAGTACAGCCTGTAAGTCATTGCGAATTGGCAATGTATAGTTTGAAAGTTTTAACTGATTCAGCTTCGCTTGTGCCTGTCGTCGAACACACATACATTCATGGTCTTTGCGTCTACGATGCTCGCCGCTTTGATCGTATCATTGAGTCATTTCTGAGTGGTGACACGTGCAGACTACAATGGAATTGTGCCACCTTAAAAATGGGAGCGTGCACACTTGCCACATCAAGCCAGCGCAATCTATAGATACCAACCAAGCATTCAGCAACGCTTCTAAGAAATCACAATACCTGAAAATCAACTTCGATTTTCTGGTTGGGGATTGAAAATTGGTTCTGACCCAATCTATCGTGGACATTTGTTGAGTGCCGTGCGTGTGTATATCACTACCACAATACACATGTCCACTAAACGCACATAAACGAAATGTTTGTCTTATCAACAATTTAGTGCAATCAAATTTTCGTGTACGCACTTTCGAAAGGCAGACCCTATTTACAATATAAAATCCCTAAAACCCTA